CCAACCACGTGCCTTACTGTGTAGAGAATCCTGCGGAGAAATTAATAATAAGGGTGATTATTTGATTATGTCTTGACGATTCATTTTATTACGATATTTTGTTATTGTTCATAAAACTCGAGATATCAAGAGATTTTGTATTAAGTATAGACCGACGCTATATTATAAAATGGTCCTTCGAGCTTGGTGACCAAAATATGTATAGTCTGGAAGTATTATAATAAAATGTGCTTGAATAGCTCAATGATTTCAGTTGCTTTATTGTGGTCTCCAGGTGCTGACCGAGCAAGGTCTAGGGAAGTACTGCGACAAAGACTTCATCGAGACCACGCTGAGAGAAATGCGGGAGGCGCTGGACCTAACACCGAACGAGATGGACACGTCTGTATCGGTTGTGTTGTATTGGCCTTGTAGCGGCGTTATGCGTGTTTCTCACGCGATAAGCTCCTAGTTCTAGACTGGGCACGTGCAGCTAAAGTTACTGAAAGACATCACATGTGTCCGACTAAGATTTTTGTTAGACAAATTTCAAATAACCGAGGAAACACCACAGTATTCGTTTTAATTTTGTGATGTAATATTGCGGTCAGTTCTAAGTCTCTAGAATTTTGTGATGCTTCTTAAGATCTACTTTTTATTTTCAGTGCTGCCAACCAAATAATAATGCAAGAGAGGATAATGAACGAAGCACAGCATCGACCGAGCGATGTGGTGAGTATTTTTGATGGTCCAGAGGACGTTGGGAATTTTGCCTAACCATCCCATCTGGTTATCGCAGCCCATAAATGCTGCACAGTTTTGTTGCGAGACATCTGTTGGCACGCTTTGATAGTAAAATCGAACCGTTTGCCGCACAGGTCAATATTTTCGTCAAAAATAATTGGTACTAAGTTTTATTGGTTATTATGGACATAGAAAAATTATATTCCACGGAAACAGTTATTTTCTTCAAATGCTACGTACCCTATATCTTTTTCTGTGCCCCTGAAAACTTGTATCAAACATTCTATTAAGAGCTCTATCTGCTCTCAGTTGAGCAGGTAAGACATGCATGGCTAACTGACAAACAACAAAATAAACTTTCGCATTTCTACTACTACACCAATCATACCATAATGAATATATTACTTCATAATACTATGTAATATTCCTAGTATGGATTTAGGTTTTTTTGTATATATTTTGATTGATATGGAAGAATGAGGTCACGGCTTAACCGATTTGGAATGGCACCGGGGCTCACGCTGCAGCCACCTTGAAATGTAACGTCGAAGTCTCATTTGTATTAGAATGAAGGTAATTGAATAAAAATAGGCAAGGTATGGTGATATGATACAAATTTGCTCAGAACATGGTCTACCTGTTAATAGACGTTTGAAGTCGTCGTCGCCTAAAGGATAAGACGTCCGGTGCATTCGTGTTGAGCGATGCACCGGTGTTCGAACCTCGCAGGCGGGTGCCAATTTTTCTAATGAAATACGTACTTAACAAATGTTCACGATTGACTTCCAAGGTGAAAGAATAACATCGTATAATAAAAATCAAACCCACAAAATTATAATTTGCGTAATTACTGGTGGCTATACTTGAGACCTTAGAACTTATATCTCAAGGTGGGTGGCGCATTTACGTTATAGATGTCTATGGGCTCCAGTAACCACTTAACACCAGGTGGGCTGTGAGCTCGCCTTAAGCAATAAAATAAAATAAAAAAAGACGTTCATCTTTTCGCAGGAGAGTATTTTGTCAAGGCAGTACCATCCCTTCCACCAGCCTCCGATGCAGCCCCCTCCTAGGAAGAAATAAAACACCAAACTACGTGCCGATGCGGGATTCCCTTTTCACCTTGTATGGACTGAAATCCGTACAGGGTTTTTTTGTCGACCTGGTTTCGGGTGAAGCCGGGCTTTTAGGGCGAGCTCCAGCGTCCTGGGAGTTTAGTAACGAAATATTTTTGTAAATAAACTTATGTTATAGAAAACGCTTTAGATGCTTGAGAATGAATATTTTCTATTGTATTTATAAATATTGAATTTTGAAATGTTTTTATTTCGTTTTTTTTAATTGAAAGAAATAAAACGTATGAATGATTTTATTTTAAGATGAGGAAATAGATTATATATTATACACGGCATCGTGCCTTAAGATAGGTATTAAAGAAATATATTCAATTATGTATATTAACAAAAAAATATGTGCCAAATCATACGACGCCTTAAATTTTAATGAAATATTTTTTGTACGAATAATATTTATTCTTATAAAAAAGGAAATAAAATTAATTATTTATATACCATATTTAATATAAAAATATTCGATTTTACGGCATTTGGTTGAAATTGTAGATTTTTTTCCGAAAAATAAAGGAGAAATCATAATAATATGTTTTAAATATGCCTTTTGAATACACAATAATGAATTTGAATAAGAATTTGCTTAACCTTGAGGTATAAGAGATATAGTATTTTTTCTAGAATATATTATGTAATTTTTCGAGTATGTTCTAGTCATATTGTTGCTTGCTTGTTTTATATATTATATAAATATTAACATATGGAAAATTTGTATTTTGTATGAGAAAATATACCTGTTATTGTGAATAAATTTGTTAACTGAAATTAGTTTTTATAAAACCAATGCCATCGTGTTAAAAACGATTGACTACAATAGTTGATTGTTTGAGAAAGAATATATTGAATTCGGTTCATTTGAAAATACGTTATTTTTATTAACTGAAAGACAGGATTTACCAACGTAAGGGGGTTGATGCGCCTGCTGTTTTCTTCAAACGGATCAGGCGTAGGCTTTTCTTGAGTAATGCAATGACGCGTTAACGAACTCATGACCATCCTGATTATACTCTATTCCAATTACAAAAAAATGAATCCGTATGGAACATTTTTATATTATTTATTTATTGCATAGATGGGTGGACGAGTTCATAGTCCGCATGGTGTTAAGTGGTTTTTTTTTTTTTATATAATATACATCCCGTTTTCCCCTGACTTTGTCACAGCTCTTAGAAGTGGTTATGTGAATTAATGTCATATTTATTATCTGTTTACCTACCTAGAGTTTTTGATTTAAATTTTTATTTCCAAAGTTAGTACATTCCGTGAAGTTACACTGTTTTTAACAATAAGTCCCCATGCTTACCAGGCCATATTATTCCTAATAAGGTGGAAGCATGGGTCAGGCTTCCTTATTACGTTTTATTGTGCGTTCGGCTATTTTTGTTGCATACTTCGACAGAATGTCCCTTTTTCTTTTTTTCTCGCATAATGTGGCTTATGCTGCTTAGGCTCAGCCCCATCTGTAACTCCTGCTCCAACTCGCACCTCTCGATCCCAAAAACAGGGCATTCCAGAAGTATGTGTGGGATAGACTCAATCGCGCTGGGCTCGCAGATGCACGATGGGCTCTGCTTACATTTAAATCGGTGCAAGTATTCGGAGAACCCACCTGTGCCCTGTTAGTACTTGTGTTATTACCCCCCGTGGCTTTATTTTGCGCACGATCTGGTATGCATCTCCAGCGTCTGGGAAAAACATTTTTGTGACCCCCGCGGTTTCTCCGTTTCCATACCTCTGGTTCCACTCAGCCAGCGACTCCAGACGGATCTGTCGCCTGACAAATGAAACCAGGCAGAGGTCATAATCCGGCTTCGTTTTTCTTTTTAGAGCCGCTTCTTTGGCCAGGTGATCGGCGCGCTCATTCCCTTCCAGTCCAGCGTGTGCCTTTATCCAGAACAAGGATATATCTTTGCCCTGGGATAAAGCCACGTCGAGGTTCGCTCTGGCTTCCACTGCTAAGGCATGGAGGGCGGTGTTAAGTGGTTACCGGAGCTTGTTTAGGGCAATCCTAAACATAAAATTTTATATAATTGTTTTTAAATACGGGAACAGACTAATAAGTATGGCAACACAGTTAGTTGCCGTTGCACAAAAATTCTGATCGTACGTGCACGTGTTGTACGTCAAGAAATAAAAATCCTTCGTTCTGAATCTAGATTTTATTGAAGTTAGCACAAAACTACAGTCCGCGCTCTAAACACAGCCCATAGACGTCTACAAGGTAAATGCCGCCACCCACCTTGAGATATGAGTTCTAAAGTCTCAGTATAGTTACAACGGCTGCCACATCCTTCAAACCGAAACGCATTACTGCTTTACGGCAGAAATAGGCAGGATATTGGTGCGCTCTTGCCAGTACACTCACATTAAGACACGTGCTTGAAGTTTCAATCCTCCTCTCCTGCAAACTGGAATGCAAGGCCGGATCGTGGCAGACATTGACTTAATGGTTGTACTTACAGCTATTCACATTAGCCCTAGCACCAGGAAATACGTAAATTTATACAAAATATTACGATTTTATTTTTAATATACGACATTATTGAATAGTGGAAGTCATTCGTGAGCATTGTCTTAAATACATTTTTCCTCAATTCATTTTTATTACTTAGGGTATGAATAATGGTAGAACCGCTTGATGTCCGTGATACACCGATTTTTTTTCCTACCTAACTGATAGCTTTGAGAGGCTATTTCAGCGTAACCTTAACTAGTAGGTGAGCTCACGGGGCTTAAACCTGATGACGTTGCTAACTAACACGAACCTTAGCAAGAGCCGTGCTTCGCAGAATCTACCACCGGATCGGAAACGGGACCCACTGAGACGATCCGGCGAGAAATTCAGTACGCTGTGTCTGTGGGTTAATTTACTCGTCGAGCCCTTCGGTTCGACGAGAACGATGACTGGTACTTGAGGTACCTAAAAGCACCGTTAGTGGATCGGAAACATACACCGAACATCTTTTCCTGAAAACTGCGACTGGAAAACTTTATTAATAAAACCAGATTTCTATTTTTTTCGGTTTATTTTATAGATCGGTGACAATTTTACATTGGCGTTATAGAATTGTATGCTATAGCTCGATTATAATCTGTAAGTGTAAAGTGATCGGTGAGTTTGAAAGCGAGCCAGAAAGAACATACAAATTAATCAGTAGCTTGTTTAAAAATTCCAGCCCATTTATCGTATAATTCAAAATTTTGTTCATTTACCAAAGAGCCTAATTTTTTATTGCGCATTTCACTGGCATCGCTCTTATTATCTTGATTAATTTTACCATCTTCGATCGCGTTATTGGGATTTTCATTTAAATCTGTTGTATCAGCTTTAAGCGTTCCTAAAGTTTCATCTGGATAGTCAATCAGGGTTATTTTGGGACACCCAGTCGTCCTATAGCTTTCGTCGTTAACACTTTCTCTATTTTTCCGATTTTTCTCTTCTTTGGTTATAATCTCTTTAGTAGTTTGTTTATCTGCATTCTTTGACAAAACTTCTATGTCATCTTTTAACTGCTTTATCAAAGTTTCCAATTCGTTTAGATGCTTATCGAAGTTTTTTGAAGATTCAATCTGTTGTTCTACAGTCGATTCCACACTTAACGTTCTTGTATTAGCACACTCGCCAAATTCTTGACAAAATTTATCTCTGACTTTCTCTATCATAGAATCTATTTTGTTGTTGATTACGGTTTTCAGTATTCTATCCATGGTCACTCTAAGTACCGTTGCGTTCGTTTTTTGCACTCTTCGATTTTCTGTTTCCTCAGCTGTTCTTCGCAAGGGTCGTATTTTGGTGGAGGTGGGGGTAAAGGATTAGGAGCACAACCAGGCCAGGGTAGATCAGGGTGTGCAGCAACTGCATCCAAAATGGCATCGCATCTCTCTGTGGTCGTTTTCTCCGGTTGCACGACACATACTATAGGTTCATTTGCACTTGGAGGTACGGGTGGATTCTTAATTTTTTCTATACAAATTGCAACGCAGGGGGCTGGTGGTGGCGGTTGTTCTACAGGAATCCTTGGACATATTTTGATACCAGCTTTTTCCTTTTGTTTTATTCGTTGCAAGGTGCAAGGGTTTGGTGGAGGTGGCTCAGGTACTGGTTCGACATTGCAGATTTTCGTGGGTAAGTTTGCTATAGGTATGTTCTTACATTTTTGTGAAATGTGATCGGACATGGCTAGTTGTCATGATTTGAATTTTGAATGACGTTATTACTTTGAATTTCGTTGAAGTTTTGTGCAAGAAGATTGCGCAAATCAAAAAGAGTTGAGGATTTTTAAACAAAAATTATACATAATAATATGGTACATAACGTTTTCATAATAAATCTCAGTGGTTTTCTTTTAAATGTCACAATACTATTGGACAGAATTAATTGCTTTAGTGTTTTAGTAGATGAATAGGAACATATTGTGGTAATTCTGGTCTATATTATTGGGCCATATAACATTTTCAGACATATATCATAGCCATATATTTTTATAAGTCTCTGGTATCCATAACACAAGGAAACCTAAATTGACCCAACCCAATTATTTTATATTTATTACTTAACTGAAACTTTGAACGCGATATCTACTTTAAAGCGTCGGATTGAGTTGAATCTTCACACATTTATAGACGACTGATACAAAAATTTAGTATAATTGTCGATATCCTCATAAGGATCTTCAGGATTATCGACGAGACAAGCGGTTAAGTCACCGCCAATTGTACTTTTTTGTGTTTAATGTATCGCACTGTTTATTTGTTTTTTTGGTGTACAATAAATAATACTCTAGATTCTCTCTCTTAAGTCGTAGCGTTCCGTGTCACGTACTAAAGCACCTACTGCCTTCCTTGATTATGATAACCGTTTCACAGATTTTTAGTGGAAGTGAAGTTCTTCTAAAGCTAATGGGTCTAGCAGTTAAAGATTAATGGTTAATTAGGTTTATAAATATGCTGCACAGTTCCCGCCAGGTCATTAAAAAAAAAAACTTTAAAACAACTGATTTTATTCAGGGGTATCGCATGAATCAACTTTTTCTTTTTCTGTAACGGGGTTCTTGATTCGCTGCACACACAATGGGGGGTCCGAACAGGGGCGCCTCTTTGTAAGGTCCGTATTGCAGGCGAGCGCGTCGCACGGATGTGGTGGATCCTCTTTGGCGCAGGAAGTAACGTTGATGAATTTCCCTGGTAGACATTTTGCTAAAAGAATCATATTTCTTTATTCACCTACATAAGGCAACAGTTACTAGTGAATAAAATTTGAAAGGCGGGTCTGGTTATATATAATATATACTTCTCTATAAATTAAATGATAGTCGTTTGCTTGAGACTTCTAATTTGTTATAAAAAGCCTGTTTCCTTATTTTGATAAGATTTATTTGAATAATTAACAATTGAAATATTAAGGAAATTTTAATCATGACACCTAATGCCTTTAGTATTGTTTCGACATAGTTAGTGGCCGCTCTGTTACCATTTGAAACAACAATGATGAACGTTGCAATAGGCCTATGAATAACTTCAGGGATAATTCCTTTAGTAAAGACCATTAGACCTCTATGGCCCATCAGGGTTTGTTAAGTAACTCACTTATTTCACCAGCATGTGCAGGATTTTTCAACTTCTCCACGCACAGAGAGGGCGTAGGGCATTCTCCCTCTTCTTGTTTCAAAGGATCACAGGGTACGATCGGGTCACACGGGTGAGGCGGTTCGGCTTTCACACAAGATTTTACGTCGATTTTTGCAACGTTTTTAGTCATTTTGCTGTTTCTGTCAATTTTATGTTTAAAAGTTAGATTGTCTGTGCAAATTATCAATTTTATCTGTGAAAATGTCAACTGACTGATTGACTGCTTTGAACACGAAAGAGGCAAGGTGCGGCGGAAGCTCGAGCGCGGAAGCTTTAATTTTGTCGGGCCGTGGTCGAGGAATGGTCTTGCCTGGTGGACCTCGCCTACGTGCGACGGATCGCATCTGAGGATGTCTCATCTTCTGGGCGACGCGGTTGCGGCTGCGGTCCTCGGTACGGGTCGCGCAGCCGTCGTAGCTGTCGTTGACGTGCCGTGAAAGAGCAAGCTGGACGGCGGTGTATCGCGTTTCCGCTCGCCACGCTGGGTTTGACCCAACAAGGTTTCCTGGAATATTAGCGGCGCCACCCGGGCGGCCTGACAGTGGACGCCGTACCGCGGAGACCGGAATCGTTGGTTGTTAATGATCGCCTCGACGGTCCGGCGTGCTTGGGTTTGTTTTACTGGTGGTAGGACCTCTTGTGAGTCCGCACGGGTAGGTACCACACCGCTTGTTTCTGGCGTGAACCAGTAATGCGTTTCGGATCGAAGGGTGGGGCAGCCGTTGTAACCATACTGAGACTTTAGAACTTATATCTCAAAGTGGGTGGCGCATTTACGCTGTAGATGTCTATGGGCTCCAGTAACCAGTTAACACCAGGTGGGCTGTGACCTCGTCTACCCACCTAAGCAATAAAAAAAATTATCAGTACCTAAATGAAAGAATATATTTAATCATATATAAATAATATTACGTTCATCAGTGTCTTTCTTCTTGATTTTTCTGGTCAGAACAAGCGCAGGAGTCGTGGTTCCGGTCTTCAGCCATCAGAGGCTTCCCATCCTGGAGCTTCTGGACTGGAACTGGACCCAGGCACGGTTGACACTTGTTCTTTTGAGTTTTACAATTTTGGGTGCAAGAATTATTATTGTCTGACATTTTGTGAAATCTACAGTTCCATTTTTCGATGAGGCATGCGGTTTTGATGGCGGTTCTGTTCTGTCAGTGTATTTTTCGAATTACATTTTTATGACAATTATTGTTTGGAAGAGAATTCGAAAAGAGTATTCATTCGGAAGTCAAAATGCAATAGAAACTGTCTATTTGGATTGAATACATAAATGCCTTGTAACTTTCAAGGTAAAGGAATAACATCGTATAATAAAGATAAATAAATCCATTAAATTATAATTTGCGTAATTACTGGTGGTAGGTTCTCTTATGAGTTCGCACGGGTAGGTACCACCACCCTTCCTATTTCCGTCGTGAAGCAGTAATGCGTTTCGGTTTGAAGGGTGGGGCAGCCGTTGTAACTATACTAAGACCTCAGAACTCATATCTCAAGGTGGCGGGTGGTGGGTGGTGATATTTATGTTGTAGACGTCTATGGGCTCCGGTAACCACTTAACACCTGGTGAGCTTGTCCACTCATCTATGCAATAATAAATAATAATAAAATATGAGTTCCTATTTTAATTCGGATAGCTATTCTCCAATGTCCAATGTAACTTATGGTTCTTTTTTGACTGAAATAGCCCCCTTAATTATGCTAACCCATGTAGCCTCATGCACAGTTTTGATACCACAAATTATGGGAAATTTATTGTTTTTTTGCTGAAAATGACTGTGTGCTTTAAACGTGCATTGGGTTTGTATACAATTTGTAGCGGTTAGCTACCACAGAATATAAGATACTTGACAGAAGCTTAAATTTTCCTAATGACATTTTCAGAATAAGCTTACATAATATATGTATCGCGCATGCAAGCACACACACACACACACATACACACACACACACACACACATTATTTCAATTAGCATTAATTAATTTATATTATAAAATTTGTTCTGTTGCTTATTCTTATAAAATATTATGTAAATGGCTATAGAAGAGCGGTATTTCCTAAACAAGCAAGTATTTTGCTTAAAAGGAGATTCCAAACCCTGTATGTTTAATTTATAAGTTGAAGCAATAAATATTTTTTCATTTTCATTTTTCATTTTCATTTTCATTTCATGTATAAGTTTCGAATAACAACATTCGGATTGTTAGTCTACCGAGTAATTATACTCACCCGGTAGAAGATCTCCCAAAAATGATTCCTCAAAAACTATTTGAATAATAATTATTTAGTTATTAAATAGTTTTTGAGGAGTAATTTTGTACCTATGAAGTTACGAAAAATTCACATTCCGACTAGAAATGCGTTAGGATTACTGCTACTACAAACGAATGGAACTGATATCGCTTACTATTTATAACTCAAAGCCGTAATACAATTGATTCTTTGATTATGTCTTAAGGTAGCGGTATTTAGGTTACATTAGGTTCTATCAAAGCGAATCGGAAAAGCAGTAAGATGGCCCTACGACCGGCTAAAGGTCGCGGGAATCTCCTGGCTGTAGGTAGGCTACACAGGCAATGTGGCGTACCTTGGGGTGACTTTTGTCTAGCAATTGACTTTTGTAGGTTGACGATGATGATTAGGATTGGACCCGTCATCTATTTACATTGTCGTCGTTTACAACCAAAGAGAGAAGAAAGGTCTTGTTTCGGCCGGGACAGTTACGGAGTCACCGTCTTCAATACGTATAATTAAATGTAAACGTCCATCAAATTATAACCTCAAAAGCCCCTCAAAGACTCGAACCAATCTGTTGTTACTGTGCGGTCTCCTAATAACATTTGCATAATGACCTCGGTCACGGCCTAGCGGCTTCCATAAAGCAACCCGGCGCATTAAGAGCCAAATTAAAAGTATACTGGATGGTAACTGGAAGATCATGATTCGCAAATGGCTGTGTGAAGGTGGCGGTGCAAGCTCCTAACAATGACATATTAAGCACATAAAAACATTTTAAATTTCTAAATATATTTTTTATATAAAAAAAAACTTATTGGTATTCTAATCTGCTAGCTACACATAAATGTTTACGTCTTCTTATAAGTTGTTTGTTTGTTTTATAGGATTCATTTCTATTATGCCGTTTATGTTGTGTGTATTCAAAATTTTAATATCACGTCCAAACTCTGTGTGTGTCTTATGTGTGAAAAGGCTATATCAATACAACTAACTTAAACAAAATAAATATAATATTTATAATATTTTGATAATGAATCTTTAAAATAATCTTTTATTTTTAAACCCTGTCGGTTATCTGAACAATAATTCACATTATAAATGTATTTGTATTGTGTTAGTAGAATTTTTTTATTACATCTACAATTTAGTTTATATTCTGAGGCGTAAATGATTCTTTTTTGGATATAGCTTCTCTCCAACTTCATCCAATTTTCGTCCAAATCTATCCAATCCTGATATTTGTATCAGATCATCAGCTCTACGTTGTTTTGGTCTACCAACAATTCTGTTTCTTGTTCTTGATTGGATCTTCCCAGCTCCTAGTTTCTAAAGTCAAAAGTCAGTAATTAAAGAAATAAAACGAACATGACCTCACAAAATTGCCTAAAATATTTACAGAACTGTCCAAAATTCAAGTTAAATGTACTCAAGTCAAAAGCCGAGTCTATCTCCGGTTCAGTTTAATTTAATTCAGCACAGTTTTTAGGAAGATCCCACGGGAATGGAATAATGATGAGGCTCCCGACGAATTACTTAAAAGGACAGCTCTCTGCATTGTCTCGACGCGGTCTGACCCAGAAACTTACGGCTTGTGTTCATTTAAAAATATTATTAATTAGGTGCTAATGATAATTAGTATTTACTGTTGGGTTGAGTTGAGTTGTCTGTGAAGTTTTTTGTACACCACATCTGGTATATAGCCAAGCGGCTACCTTTTAGCCGCTTAGATTGTTGATGATCCCGAATTTACGAAGACCTTGGAGTCACTCGTTTGCGGGGAGATTTTAATGTCCTCTGTGTTTTGTAACGTATGTTTCATGGAGGATGAAGAATTGAGGAGAGAATGATTTGAGGAATTTGTTCACCAAGAATTCTGCTGCAGACCGTTTCCGGAAACAATTCTTGTCACGTACCCGGCTCTAGAGTTAACCCAGATTCATAGTTTTTATTCAGAAGCGTTTTCCTTTAAGAGGCATTTGCGAAATGCCTTTGACTGTAGGTTTTGATGAGTGTCTGGTCTAGCATTGTCTCAAGCATTTCTTTAGAGCACTGTCCAAGCGATATTTGGATAGCTATAGTGACGGCTTTTGTCACGTATTGCTAATTGCTAAAAAACCAAAGTGATGATTGTGGATTGAACCTTGAACTAACGGGAACGCTGAACCTTGACATCGTGAGCGACTTCGTCTACCTTGGGTCTAACATTAATAACATAGGATCATGCGAAAAAGAGATAAGGAGACGTATAGGGGTGGCCAAAAATGCAATGTCCCAGCTGCATAAGATATGGAGAGACCTTAACATCACGCGAAAAACTAAAACCAAATTGGTGAGTTCGCTAGTTTTCTCCATATTCAGCTATGGCGCGGAGACCTGGACAATGAAGAAGGCCGACAGAGACCGAATAGACGCTTTTGAAATGTGGTGCTGGAGAAAAATGCTACAGATTCCATGGACCGCCTTTCACACCAACGTGTCTATTCTGAGAGAGCTTCATATCAATACCAGACTTTCCACTATATGCCTTCGTAGGGTGCTGGAATTCTTCGGACATATTGCTCGTAAAGAGGGTCACAATCTAGAATAGCTGATGGTGACAGGTAAGGTAGACGGCAAACGTTCCAGAGGACGTAGTCCCACGAGATGGTCGGACCAAATACGATCTTCAACTTCCACAATGCCCTTCATGAAGCTAAGGATCGCAGCAGATGGAGGGAAATCCTACGGGAGAAACTGATGCAACGGAGGAGTCACGACCCTCAGTAATGAGGAAAACGATGCGAGGAGGAGGAGGAGGCTAATTGCTAATTATTGAAATTGTTAAGATTATGAATAGTTTTAATTTTTAGGCTTGTAACTTTATTATAAATAATTATAAAGCCGACTTCAACGATCGTTTGCTTTGAAATTTCAATATGATAATATCCGTTTATAAATAATTCTGAGATCCACATGAATATTATATTAAGTTGGTGAAACATGCAGCTCTGCGAAGTTGGACCAAAACTTTTTATTGCCAAAGTTGGTTGAAGCTGGAGCGCTTGATGCAAAACTAAAAGATGTGCTGATGAAGTTTTTTAATCAGAAAACGCTTACAGAATATTGAGTGAGCATCGAAGCTTTTTTTTGTATTTCATTGTAGTTTCTGATGTATTTTGAATAAGTGAAATAAATAGTACTTTACTAAATGTCTACCTCAGTGATAAAAAACCTTTCCTTTTTATTTTTCAAACACTATCCCTATCTTGCCAAGCTCACAACGATTTTTCGTGGTTTAGGTTTACTGGTAACATTGCGTCGTCATGGCTAAAATAATAAGATGTCTGGTATTCTCGTATTAAGCGATGCTACTATATCGGTTTTCAAACCCGCACCGATTGTTCTAATGAAATAGGTACTTAACTCAATTTAACGAATGACTTCCATGATGGGCATCGTGTAATTAACATAATACCCGAAAATGATAGAATTAGCTTTTATATGTAAACTAGCTGACCCGGCAAACGTTGTTTTGCCAGATTTCTAGGGAATTTCTAGTGTAGAAAAAAAAAAAATTATTGTAAGTGTGTAAGGATGTGGTAAATGAGTAAAAAAAGAGGCATGTAGTGTTGTGAATGATAAGGGAATAAAAAATAACAAAACCTCATACAACCACATAATGCCTCATTACAACAAAAAAAAAATTGTCCAAAAAATAAAAAATTAATGTTAGGGGTCGACAGCCCTTATCACTTAGGAGTACGAAAAATAGATAGTAGCCAATTCTCAGACCTGCTGAATAAGGATATAAAATTTTATAAAAATCGGTCAAACCGTTTCAGAGGAGTATGGTAACTAAGATTGTGACACGAG